GTTTTTTGGGCTGTGTGCGAGCTTGCTTTGTCTTGGTGGAGGATGATTTTTCGGTGATGACTTTTGGATAACAAATGGTGGTATACCAATCCGCAGTAACAGTTCTTTGCTCATTAAGAGGAGTTGTTGCAATATGACCCGCTTTTGATAAAAATGTCGCGACCACCTTTTTCGAAACACTTCGAGAACGGATGGCTTTGGTTGGCTTTTCTTCACCTTGGAACACCCAAACAGCCGACTGTCGTTTATTTTCTGGTTCATAACAGTAAATCCACGATTCATCGCCACTAACAATGCTGTACACATTTTTGAGCTTCCGGAATTGAAACGGTCAAGCGTTTTTTGACACCAATTAACCCTGGCTGCTTTCTGCTCTTCAGTCAACAGGTGGGATATTCAACGAGAAACTAATTTTCTTACTCCTAATTCTTCATGTAAAATTTTTTGAATTGAGGTCGTTGAGATCTTCAAGGACGCCTCAATCTCGCGATATGTCACATGTCTATCTTCAATGATGAGTTTGCGCAGAGCATTGACGTTTTCCTGGGTGACTGCCGTTTTTGGTGCACCCACCCTGGGATCGTCGCTAAGGCCCATATCGTCAGTCGTCCCTACAATTGTAGGGCGCGTTTATGACCTCCTTGATTGTCATACTCCTTTCTTTCCTTCAAAAATTTCTAGATTACACTTGTCCCGTGTCAGCGTCAGCGCTCTCTTATTGTGGAAATTTCAGGCTGATAAAACATGATATAGCTCAAAAGCAAGCACAATTTGATGCAAATAGATGTTTGTGACATAACCTCAAAATACAGCGCTGACACGGAGAAGTAGAAAACTATGACAATCAAGGAGGCCATAAAGGCGCCCTACGATACGGGCCTAAGACTCACCCGTCCACGTTTGAATTTTCCATACCAACGGGAAATTGTCGACTGATGTGGCGCTTCGTTGCCGAAAACAGACAGTAACTCAGCAAGGCATTCTTGTTGCGATAATTGTCTCTGAAAGTTGTAATAAAGTATGACGCGAAAATGTTCTCGGTTGAGTTCCATTTTTATAATGACCTGGTGACACTTAAAAATTCACTGAAGTGAGAACACTGTATGTATTGTTGTGAAACTTTGAATTTAAGTTTATTAAAGAGTGAGGTTAAGATTCAGTACTGACGTTCGATCCGGGCGGCCTACTATGTTTCTATATGCAAAACTTAAAAGACATCCCTCGTATGAGTATAGAGATGGAGACAAACTGAGTACTTTTGGCACGAAGCACCAGGAGCCGCAAGTGAAAAATATTAGCGCTACGGCACAATTTCTACTGAGTGGGCAGTGACAGATGCTTGTTCCAGAAGTTATTGCAGTCAGTAAACAACTTCTTTCCAATCATGTGATTGCACGCGCAACGATACCGATTGCCAGGTGGCGGCACAAGTCAGCCAACGGGTTAGGGGAGAGCGGGGCTGAAAGTGCCGGGGGTAAGTAGTGCCGACGAGAATATCCCATAAACAGACGGAGATAGCTATACGTTCACATTACACCGCAAAATGCTTAACCGTCCGGCTCACGTGGCACTCGTGGCAGCCAGTTGCTCTCGAGACGCGGACCAGGTAGCTATGTGTATGAGTGCCCTCCAACGCCACGTAAGTAAATATTTTAACGTTTATACTTTTTGGTCTCAAGCCTATGTAATTCGTTCTTTTGATTTGTAAATTTTACGAAAATGTTTGTTAGTCATCTACAAATGTGACACAATGCAATTTGAATGCTTTGTACAGAGTGTTTTTTCCATATGCAACAAAATGTCATAACCTTACAAACGGGGTAAATTTTGCTTTTTATTTGGGGCCAGTTGTGCCGCGGCACAACTAACCCCACGTGACTTTCAGTATTCTAATATTGTCTTCTGTTCACTTGAGAATACTAAATACTTCATAACTTATTTGACAGGATGAGGACATACAAGCGACAAACACAAAGGGGAACTACATCTCAAGATCTTATGCAGAGGGCTGCTGAAGCGGTCATAGTGAAAGGGCGCAAACTAAAAACTGTCGCGCGTGAGTTAAAAATTTGTCACAAAAAAATAAGGAGTGGACATACTGCGACGGTTGGATACAAATCAAGAGTAGTATTTAATGAAGAACGAGAGATGTTATTATCGTCATACATTGGGAAAAGTGCCTCTATTTACTTTGGTCTTATCCCGGAAGAAGTTCGACAACTTTCATACCAGTGTACGATAAAATTCAATGACCAAAACATTCCACCATCTTGGCGCAAAAATGGCGAGTCTGGTAAGGATAGGTTGACACATTTTATTAGAAGGAACCCTAACACTTTCTATAAGGACACCGGAAGCTACCAGTGCGAGACGCGCATCCGAATTCAACCGACATAACGAGGAGCAATTCTTTAAACAACTTCGCGACCTGATCACCAAGTATACGTAAATCTTACTCCTTCTCGTATTTGGAACCTGGATGAGACTGTCGTCCAAACTGTGCTAAAACCAAAGAAAATTGTGGCAGAAAAAGGCATAAGGCAAGTAGGTGCAATTCTTACAGTTGAGCTTGCGGTAAGTGCATTGGGAAACGCAATTCCACCGATGTTCGTGTTTCCACGTCTGAAATTCAAAAACCTGTTTATCCGGGACGGCCCTCCTGAGAGGATTGGGGCTGGCAACCGCTCCGGATGGATGACAAGCACAGAGTTTCTAGTGTTTACTACTCCTACAGAGCCAGTGTTGTTACTCCTGGATAATCATTCATCTCACAGTGATATTGATGTGATTGAAAAAGCTAAGAGCAACTCTGTCATATTATTATCGTTCCCCCCACATTGCACCCACCGCCTGCAACCACTAGATGCGGGCATTAACGGTCCTTTCAAAACGTACTGCTCTAAAGCCCAAAGCAACTGACTAAGAACGAATCCCGGAAAGACTATAACCATTTATGAAATACCAGGAAAGCAAAAATGGAAAACAAATGAAAAAGCGGATCAAGAATCCCGCCAAAAGAAAGGTTATTCAGGAAAGCGATGAGAGTTCCAGTGAAGAGAGGAATGAACTAGAATGGTACTGTATCATATGTTGTGATGACTACTCTAACTCTGCTCCAGGAGAAAATTGGATTGAATGCAGAGATTATAAGGATTGGGCCCATTCGAAATGTCTTGAAGATGAAGAAAGCTTATCATTTGTGTGTCCTAATTGCTATTCTGACCAGTCATCTGTAGAATAAGTTTATTTTTAATATGTTTAAGTTTCACTAGTACCACCAACTGGAGAGACTGATTAATTAGTTAATAGTTACAAAGATAGATCTCAGTTACTTTAGAATCTAGAAGAAAGTTTGATTCGTTAGGCTGTCTATTGAGGCTAATATTTATACTTGATAGTCTAGATTTGTCTTGAAAAAAATGGTAACTATTAATAGAGAAGATACCTTAAGTTTGAAATATCTAGAATAATAAATATTGTTTGATTTTTGTTTAATTCCATTTATTATTATAAAGCAATAAAGTTCAATATCTGTTGATTTGTATAAAATATCTATTAATGCATATAAAGTTATAAAATCTGTCTTTGTGTTTCTAACTTATTCATATACTTATAAATTACCAAATATCAGGAACGACCTCAGCTACGGCACAACTTGCCCCGGAGCGGGGTTGGTAGTGCCTCTCGACCTCTTCTCAAAAAAGTCGGTTTCTGTCAAAAACTGTTAAAGGTGTACTAAAACTACATATAAATTCACAAACTAGATTAAATATTGCCTTAGATGAACCACAATTGCTAGTCGTATTATGTGTTTTATCCGATTTATAGGAGGATCTGCCGAAATCGGCACCTTCAGCCCCTCTCTCCCCTACCTTACTTCTATACAACATCATTTACAATTATTGAAAGTAGGTGGTACGCAAGGGCCAGTCGACCGAGGCGGTACTACTAGCTAGCTTTTTTCAGGGTATCTTTAAAATGAACGCATGTTTCCACACCTAGGCTATGCAGTCGGTTTTCTTCTTTTCCCCTTACCCTTAACAACAAAAAATGATGATGGACGTGAGCTCATCCCTCTCTCGGAATTTCTGGGTGAACGGTGGACTCGAAGTAACAACATCGATGATAAACTCTCCTTTACGGACATATCTGTGTGTAGGATTAACAGCAAGATTGATGCTGTTCACCACTATCTGCAGTCAAATCTTATTAGGAATCGCCTTTTATTTTGCTACTGTTGTTTGTTTCAGTTATTCGTTTTTATGATTCGTTAATTAATATACATATGCATATAAATTTTCAACTTTTCATATTTTTCCCTAAATGCGTAGCCCAATCCGGCAACACCGCAGGCAAGCGCCTCTCATATATGACATATGCACAGACGTCTACGTCATATGGCAGATAGATGGCGGTGGAAATAATCGTGGAAGGAACAGCTAAACATATGTTTTGGGAACATTTTTTCATGAAAAGCGTGCTTCATCCACACTTTTTTTATTTCTAAATAATCTATCTACCGTCTAAAAGATTCAAGAGAAAAAACAGTGAAATCGGAAGTGAAACAAGACGCAACAGCACCGTACTGTTCTCCAGATAACCACCTCACTGTGTAGAAGGTCCAGATAAGATCTACCCTCGAATACTCTTCACATGATTGGGGTGCTGCCGCCCGGACTACATTACTCATACTCGACGCTGCCCAGAAGAGGGTTGTCCCTAAAGTCTCGAGATTGTGCCCGAGAAGGCGGTTCAAAAATTGGATGAACAGTGTCTTTAGCTACTTATAGCAGCCTGAATATAGGTAATGTTTGACATAACTTTTGTATAAGCAGAATATCATTGCTAATGCTAGCTGAGTTGTCTATTTTCAGGCCGCTGAAGCACCCGATTTTTGCCTTTACAACTTCAAATATCCTTATGGACTGGTCCCTTCCTACTCACACCTAACATTCAGTAAGGACGACAAAACGCACTCGATAGACCTAACACCAACAAACCTTAAAGCAAGCAGGATGCCACACATCTTTCCCCATCCTAGGCGCCGTAACGCTGATTTGCTGCGCGTGCACGGGCTGCAAACATCTAATGCAGAAGCTGCCAGGGGGCGTCGGTTTCGCCACGGCGACGTCTAGCGCCACCTGGTTGCGACCCGACACGAAGTCTCTGTAACTGGACTCGTATTGGGGCTCCACGAACTTGCATGCGGTGAGGGAGAGATCTTGTTTCGGTAATTGTCTGCAAAAAAACACATTTTTTAAAATTACAAACAACTCGACTGCACTATCTGAAAAGAATGATTTAATTCAAAGTTGAAGTTTGCGTTTCAAATCTGCCATTCTGATTTTATGAAATTTTAGTATATTCAGTTTGATCAGCACTGCCAAGACAAATCTGAAGACACCTCATACAGGGTGTTCATTTGAAAACTAACCTCCACGGATTTATCGAAACTCACTGATTAAAAGAAAAAACGCCGAGATAGTCAGAAGTCTTGTCCAGGGGGGCAATTTTTCAACCAAAAACTACTTCACTTCACCCTCGGCCCCTAGGGTCATTCCTTTAAACATTTTAAATGACAAGGGGTATCGAGTAATAGCTTGTTTGAAAGGTCTTACGAAGTCCTTTATTTTGACGTTTGATTTTTTAAATCAATCGATTCGTTTTCGAGAAAATTAGAAAAATCTTTATTTATCCTAATTTGTTCAGATAGAAAACAAAAACAGACGGAAATATCACTATTACTCGATACCCCTTGTCGTTCAAAACTTTTAAGGGGATGACCCTGTGGGGCAGAGGGAGAAGTAGTTTTTGGTTAAAAATTTGTCCCCCTTGACAAATCTTTTGACGTGTTTCGGCGTTTTTTCCTTGAATCACTGGTTTTCGATAAATCCGTGGTGGAACACCCTGTATATCAAAATCTAGCCCTCTAAGATGTAGCTTGTGAAATAGGAATTTTTAGGTTAATTTTTTCAATAGAATCCACCATTTCGTAATTATAAAAATTTAGTATAGTCAATGTCATTCGCACTGCTAATACGAATCAAATAACACCTCATAAATATGTCAAAATCCATCAAGATATTTGGCCAGGAGCCCATGGAATAGAATTTTTGTCCACAGAACATAACCCTCCTTCTGCTTTATTGACTCATGTTGCTCTTTTTCAGTAAAACCTGACAGCCTAGAGATACAGCAGGACAAGTTCCAAGAGCTAGAGGTTACACGCTAAAGGTGCATCAGGATTTGCAATGTATGCACCACCGAATCGCAGGACAATTTCAGAAAGCTATCAAAGTGAAATAAGTAAACAGATATTCATGAGAAAAATGATAGTGAACAATGCGTCGAAATTGTGGAGCCACTGGCGATGCGTCTTTTTAGCATAATCTAAGAGCTGATGCCTTCATTCAGTTGAGGAATCCTTTTTGTAAGGCTGCCTCAATTTTACTTGCGCAGTTTTAACACTTGGATTAACCAATATCTTTGTCAAGAAAAAAAACAGCCTTAATCGCTCACTTCCTTAGTGACGATGATATACGTAAGGTGAAAACGTGGCGCTTATAGGGTTGTGCTAAAGTCGCTCTACAGGTAACTACAGAGTTAAAAAAAACTTAATGAAAAGAAAATATTCATTGCTATCAACATATTCATAAGTTCGGCGGGTTTTATTTCTTAAATATCATTCCGCCCAAATGTTTGCTATACCTTCGGACACACTCTTCTAATCGCGCGCGCAAATTCTGAAACACTCGTTTGCAGAGTTCCGGAATGATTTTGTTTATTTCTCGTCGAATGTTATTTTTAAGCTCCTCCAGTGTTCGTGGATTATTCGAATACGCTTTTGAGTTTAGATAACCCCACAAAAAATAATGGCATGGCGTGAGGTCGGATGACCTAGAAGGCCAGTGAATGTCTCCAAACTTGAGGAAAAAGTGCTTTCACCGTATGCATCAGTTACCTGAAAGTATGGGCAGTGGCCCCATCCTGTTGAACCCATGTGTTTCTGTTGAATCTCTTAAGTTCTTACAATAAGTGCAAAAAAGTGTCAGAATTCCTAACTCGACGCACATTTTCTTCTGTTGATACGATAGGTGTGGAGCCAGGAATGGTTGACTAAGAGTGGAGCATGTTTCACGGAACCTCTTAATCCACTTTTTCAATAGATTCTCTTCGTCGGCGAAATGTTGTATCGTGTACAAAATTTTCGAAGGGCAGCTACTTATGAATCACCACTCTTAAAGTAATCCTCGATAGCAAAAGCACGTTGCGCTCCGGTCCAACGTTCCATTGTGATTATTTAACCCGCACGCCGAACGCGTCGATCAAGACCTCTCCCCACTTTCTATACGTAATTCAAATTTGAAATGTGAACTTTCCCCTGTATGTGAACGACAACCACATCAACGCTGCCCACCCTTTCAGAAGCGTAGCTAAGCGCCAGCGCCCCGCTCTCAATTTAAAATCGCCAGACCTCCCGAGATGGATCTTCCATGACCACAAATGCGCCTCCTCTATACAAATTCCTAACTCCGCCACTGATAGATCCTTAATACCAAGGCTTCCTTCCTCAAGAAAGACTTAGAGCCTGTCTTTCTTAAGAGAAGTTGTGTAGTAAGAAAGCCTTGACGTTATCAAGGTTTTCAATGCCAATCAAGAAGCCATAGATTGGAAAAGCCAACTTCTTTGCTGTGAAAGATGCTTGACAATTATGTTGTAACTCCCAAATGTCAAGTCAAATAAAACATCCTCCCTATAAAGAGCTTTCAAATGAAGGAGCGGCAATACATACGAGCGTTAGGGTGGATTTCACCAGGATTGTCAAATCAACAGTCCGTTATTCTCCATCTATAGGGAAACAAACCGTCAAATACAGCGAATGAGCATCAAGTTCCAATCAACAAATTTTAGCAACCAATAGCTATGAAATGTTGAAAACAAAATACTGTCAAAGTATGAAATGACAGCTTGTCATTGAAACATCACCAGCTTATTGAATATTAAGAAATTACATATAATTCAGTCAAAATTTAAAAAAGTGTTCGGTTTTTGAATACAATTCATGTTTTTATTTAATATTATCGATTATTTATTCATGTTTATATTATTTTCTTCAATTGATATGCGATTTTACTGATTCAACATCACCCACCGCGTGTTCTTTGCCTATAAACCTCTTGCAGATAGCCATTAAGCATCTACTTGATGACAGGCTCTATCAAAAATTTCATAGATATTGCTCGATTCCAAACATTGATTCATTTACTTGCCGTTCATCAGTACCATTATAGCAGCGTCGATTGATATTCGAACAAAACCATTCAAGATTTTTGATATCCATACATACTTAGTCAAATATTTTTTGGTTGTTCAGGAACTGAACAAACATCCACACTATATTTACAGCGAATAAGAAATACTCAAATATACACCTATGTCGTAAAGCTACCGGCAAACTTAAAACCTGCAAAAAAATAGAATTTGCAATAACTTAATGAGCAATTTTTCAGACTGTTACTTGAAAAATGCTCATGGATTATTCTCTGTGAAATTCTTATATCATTTACCTGACTATCCTTTGGGAACGGACGGTTTCACCTCGTGAACCTAGCTTAGGCACATCTTCTGAAGGCAGTGTGGAATAGTATTGGTCCACCTAGAATTATAAAAATAATATTGAATATTGAATGCGCATCCACCATAATTTATAACTATTATTCTTCAATATTGCTAAAAAAAACGTAGGAAATCTTGACACTGACATTTTTAGAGCCCCTATGCCTCGCTATACCAGCTGTTTCAAATTCTACTCCCGTCACTGGGATCTCGGAATTGGTAAGAGATACGAAATGGGTTAAATAGGGGCAAAATTGCGCATTTAGGTAACAGGTAACTAATAACATGTCACATGTCACGAAAAAAAAAACGAACTTACCCAAAAATATTTTCATTTTCTCTTGAATTTTCCTCAACGTGGGATTTTTTCACGCTGAGAACACAAATCTGAAGTCGAAATTGCGGGTCGGTGGCCAAATAAGAAAGTAATTCAGGCATCAAATTTTTTGCATTTTTAGTGGATGTGTATCTCTTCAGCGGTCTCTGAGGGATGTCCATCGAACAAAAATACCAACAATTTTTAATTCTGATGTGTAAATTATTTTCATATTTGTCCATCTTCCTCCAATTTTGACTTCAGATTCGCGTTCAGAGGAAGAAATACATGGAAAAAATATAGTGAGACCCCTTCATACCACTTTTTTTGTGGTCTTGTGGATAGTTTTTATGCGTTTTCTCTAAAATTTGTCTGAATATCTTGCGGCGGGAGAAGATGTTAGTCGACCATCTACAAGGTTCTCTTGGAGGCCATAGGCTGGAAGGTTGCGTCAGAGGGCACCATGCCACAGCTGGTCGCAAGCTTTTGGCATTCTTAAGACCAACTATGGAAATACCAGTTATTTTGAAATAAGATTTAGAAATGAGAATGTACGACGTATTTTTATTTATCTGTACAAAAATCCAATATGGCATTCATCAGAAAAAATAAAGAATGCGAACAATAGACGAAACGTCATACTGAAATTCTAATTATGCCACCTTGTAGAAAAAAGTGGCGAGGTAAATCTGCCTTCTATTTTAAAATCCCACCTCAAATGAAGTCGGAAAAAATAAGAACGAGTTTAGGAAATTTCGTCATCTGGCATTCGTATTCGTATTCTTTACCGCTTTCGGGATCCCAAAGGCGAGAATCGAATTCGAAAAACCCGGTATATAAGTGAAGAGAGGGTATAAATGTTCCCAAAAATCTAGATTAAATCATGTTATGGTCTTGTCGACCATGATTCAAAATATAAAAGTAGTAAAAGGTGTTTCGATTTGCTGTTGAATATATTATTTTTAGTTTTTTTAGACGATATTTGCCGGAAGGCATAAAATTACGATCCAGAAATGCGTCAATAATGATGTAGTTTTTTATGTTTTAATGTCCTTTCTATATTTGACACTTTCAGTGGAGCCCAACCCTCACTGTTTTGCGAAACACTATCTTATAATATCATCGGTTCGGAATTAAGTCGGTTAGAACGGTAATATTGACTTCTTTGTAAGTTTTTCAAAAACGTGTGATTTAACGTAAATATATTACCTGTCGTGCGGACGAGAGTCCTGGAGGCACAAATGTATAGCCCAAAGTTCGGGCATCCAGGCCATCGTGATTTTGGACAAAGCCCAACCTTGCCCGAGCCCCATGTTCTGCTACGACTTCGTGTACATCTCTGGAGCATTTGCAGTTTTTGCACGTCTTTCTGCAACACAAAAGCCGAACATGTACATCGCAGTCTCCGCCGAAAGGCGACACGCTTTGCTGATAGAGATCCATTTAGCTGTCAAACGATCTAAGGCCCGTATCGTCAGTCGTCCCTACAATTGTAGGGCGCCTTTATGGCCTCCTTGATTGTCATAGTTTTCTATTGTCAGTGCTCTACTTTGAGGTTATGTCACAAACATCTATTTGCATCAAATTGTGCTTGCTTTTGATTTATATCATGCTTTATCAGCCTGAAATTTCCTACAATTTAAAAGGAAAACATATCTTCACAATAGGAGAGCGCTGATGCTGACACGGGACAAGTGTAATCTAGAAATTTTTGAAGTGGAGAAAGAAGTATGACAATCAAGGAGGCCATAAACGCGCCCTACAATTGTAGGGACGACTGACGATACGGGCCTAAGTACACGGTTCAATTTTTCATATTTCGCTAAAGGTGCACAAAACTGTTTGTTGAGACATTTATCGAGCATGTATCAACTTTCTCAATAATAGCACTCAGAAAAACGCTGGTTCGGAAAAACCTCAACAAGGTATACTGCACTTGATGGAAATTAAATTTGATAGCTAAAAAACATATATTTGCAACTTTTTTCGCTATCAAGCCAATCAGTTTAAAATATTCATAGATTTTATATTTCGCCACTCCTTTACTTTTCCATGCTGCTTCAGCTCTACGATTTTTAAAATAGAATTCGCTATTTCCCGTTTAAAGTTCACAGCTGAGATCGATACTTTTATCTATTTCGTTCTGCACTGATTAACGTTATCATTTTACGTGAAACGGTTTATATGTACTCCAGTTAAATTACTTTTTCCATGAGAGCTGTTGAGTAGCCTTGTTTCTTCTCTTCTAATACCTTGCAGTTGCTGAATACCAAGAAGCTAAAAAATTCAATTCACCTCCCATGCATAACGACAGAAGGTGGACTGATATGTATATCGTAGCCCACATCATACATTACATACCTAATCTGAAAAGTGGGCCATTATTGAGTGTTCAGTTTCATAAAATAAAGCCGGTAGCGCCGAAATATATAATGTGCGACAAATCAGAACTGGACAGAATACACAGAACTGAGAAATTATGCTCTTGCATCACAGCGTAGAAAAAAGGCTGGTTATCTTCAGCACTTACAAGAAACTAATAATTCATCTTCTTTATATAAGGGTATAAGGAATTTGAACATGCAGACTAAGAAGCATAACCACATACCTGTTAGTTTACGTAACGCAACGCAGATAAATGATTATTTTTTATCTGTTTTTGAAGATAATACTCAGCTCTGTGCTAGTGAAATAGAATTTTATGATAATAACATACTTGATGAATCGCTCAAATTTGATCTGGTCTTGACCACTGAGGAAGATATACGTTCGCATTTATTTAAAATAAAATCTAATGCCTGTGGGCATGATGGTATTACGCATAATATGATAAAACTGTGTCTTCCTGTGATTGGCAAATATTTAACGCATTTGATTAATTCTTGTTTGGAACTTCACTATTTTCCCTCTGTATGGAAGCAAGCAGTAATTGTTATCTTGGCAAAAACTAATAACCCTTCAGCTTATTCCGACCTGCGCCCAATAAGTTTACTTCCGATTCTATCAAAAATATTGGAAAGGATAGTACATGATCAATTGAAAGAGTACTGCTCTGAGAATAACTTAATTCCAAAAAACCAGTCTGGCTTCAAAGTAGGGAATAGCACCACCACTGCCCTGCTTAAGGTGACTGATGATATTGTTGAGGCTTTGGATCGGGGTCAAGCAGCGGCTCTTGTTCTGCTTGACTTCTCCAAGGCTTTTGACACTATCAATCATTCACCTTTGATCTCGAAATATATTGGATTTTCTCAAGCATCTATCAAGTTCATTACTAGTTATCTCATGAATCGTATGCAAAGGGTACATTTGAACAACTCATATTCGACATATAAGAATGTGATATCAGGGTCCCTCAAGGCTCTGTTTTAGGACCGCTATTGTTCTCCATTTACATATCAGACATGTGTAAACTGATACGCTCCTCTGAAGTGATGATTTTTGCGGATGATACACAAATATGTAAAACTTTTGATCCAGATGACTGTGTAGCAGCTGTTAACGAGTTGAATTGTGACTTAGCCACTATTGTTAGTTTTTCCAAGCATAGCTACTTAACGCTAAATGCCTCTAAATCTAAAGCTATTCTCTTTGCACCAAAAAACAAAATCATTAATATCAGAAATAACGCGACAGTACGCATTAATGACACTTCTTTAGTTTATGAGGATCTTGCAAAAAATTTGGGTGTCTTACTTGACAAGGATTTACGTTTTCGTGAGCATATATCTAAATTAGTAAGAAACTGCTTTGTTGTACTAAAAACAGTGTTTGTTAATTGGCATTTCATCAATTTCAAATTGAAAAAACATCTTTGTGAAAGCCTAGTTCTCTCAAAAATCAACTACTGCCTTATAGTTTTCTATCCTTACTTAGATCAAATCTCATTTCACAGACTTCAACTGATTCAAAATTCGTGCTGTCGCCTCATCTACGGTTTAAGAAAATATGACCATGTTTCACACTGTATTCGTAGTTTAAAATGGTTAGATATTAATAGTTATTACGAGTATTTTATCTTGTTCATTCATAATTTGTTTATCACGGGAACCCCCGAATACCTCTTCAAAAAAATTGTTTTCAGGCAATCTGTTAGAGATCGCATGCTCAGGTATGGCAAATTATTAGATATTCCACGGCACCGTACGGCTCTATTTACTCGCTCTTTTAGGTATAATTGTGTCAAATTGTATAACGTGCTACCTGATGCTTTCAAAAATTTATCGCAAACTAAATTTAAAGTTTGTGTCAAGCAGCATTTGCTATCAAAAATGACTCGTAGTAGTAATTAAGTAGTAGTTTGTAGTTTAGATTAGTAACCGCCAGAAAAATTTTATTTGACGTGTTGCTGAATCTGTTTATATTTTCTATATTGTCTTGCAATATTTTTGTTTTCCTTTTGTTAGCCACATATATACATGTTAATTACATGTATTTACATTGGTTCACAACCATGAAAATAATAGGGTTAAGTGGAAGAGTATCTATTTAGCTAAACTTCGCCCGTTACTATGCAACTTTATAAATAAAGACGATTTATTATTATTATCATTATTAAATAATGTCCTTCTCAAGCGAAGTATGTATCAATTTTTTTTCACTATTATCACTACTTATATACAACAAAATATTCTCTTACATCAAGATGATGACGTTTTCAACTGACTTTACAAACATCTTGATACCTGGAGTCAAGCTGACAACCTCAAATGATTTATTTATACTTGAGCTACCATGATACAGCCATAAAGCCTAGATATCCGTGGATACCGTGGGGCTATATGGGGATGCACGGAAAAGGGGGAGGGGGGCGAGACGTGGATAAAAATTCTGTTGGGGCGGGATTCGAACCCGCGCCGCTCACAGCGACTGATTAGTAGACCTATCACGACTAAAAAAAATGCGACATCTCAAACAAAGTATGCATGGAACTTATTTCACTCATAACACTACTTATAGTCATTTTACAAATATTTATATCTAGTTACCTGGTGTCAAACTGACAACCTCAGATGAATGCAACAGACAACCGATTTGGTTTGGACTCGTCCATACAAGAGCAGTACGGTAGAGATGTTTTTTTGTGATAACTTTAAAACCCATTTCCAAACCTTAGGCCCGTATCGTCAGTCGTCCCTACAATTGTAGGGCGCGTTTATGGCCTCCTTGATTGTCATACTCCATTCTCTCCTTCAAAAATTTCTAGATTACACTTGTCCCGTGTCAGCGTCAGCGCTCTCCTATTGTGAAGATATGTTTTCTTTTTAAATTGTAGGAAATTTCAATCTGATAAAACATGATATAACTCAAAAGCAAGCACAATTTGATGAAAATAGATGTTTGTGACATAACCTCAAAATAGAGCGCTGACACGGAGAAGTAGACAACTATGACAATCAAGGAGGCTATAAAGGCGCCCTACAATTGTACATATGTCAATTATACAGGGTGTTTCAGTTTATTGTTGCATAACTTTAAGATTCGATAGAAATTTTAAAATTAATGCATATAGTCTATATACGTATAAACATGGGTCGAAAAATGCGTGGCTTCCTACTTTCTAAAATATTTTTTTTTTTAAATATTTCGAACAATATTGGATGTATAACAGTGAAAATTGGTATACAAGAGTTTTTTGGTACGACAAAACGAACCATGGGCATAGTTTTACTGTAGCCGCTAGAGGGCGCTCTCTACTGTACCTGTAGTGTATTAAAATGACCTAAAAATTTTTCTTAGTGCAATTTTTTGCTTTTTGAATAAAAAAACTGATTCTTCGCACTTTGCAACATAAAAAAGCTCTCTTGTGAATTTTCGTTATAGTCAGCCGTTTTTGAGATATTTCGTTTTTTAAGGTTTGATGCATTTTTAATTATTTATGATAAAATAACGTTAAAAAGTCAGTATCTCGATAATTTTTAGAAGTAGGCTGTGCCTGCAAATATTTTTGAAATTGAAAGCAGAATAAGGTTAAACGTCAATTAGTTGACAGTTAGTTTTGTTGTCTGTTGAAACCTGAAACGTTTTTTTGCAATTGTGAATGCACGAAATTTAGTTTCTTTTACCTGTTTTTTTTTAAGTTTTATAAAAACGCCATTTTTATTCTCCAATCAAGAGTTAGCGCAGAAGCAGCCAGAGAATACGCACGAAGATTTCCCAACAGACGACATCCAACTCGCTCAGTATTTGTAAGAGTGCATCGCCAAATAATTGAAAATGGTTTTGGAAATCTCCAAAGGGATCAAAACATAAAGGTTCATCAGCGCAGATTTCCCCTTATGATTCTGCGTGAGATCCGACCACAAGTGTTAGGAGAGTTTCTGGTGCCTTGGGAATTTCAGCAAGCCATGTTCACCATGTTCTTAGAAA